CCCTGTTGCTCTTTTCTGCACTCTTTCCAAAGTCTCTACATCTTTCTTATAATGCGGTGACCAAAACTGGATGCAGTATTCTAAGTGTGATCTTACTAAGGCTTTATAAAGCAATATTAATACTTCACCTTCTGTCCCTCCGTTAATGCAACCTAGGATTTTTAGCATACGGAAACCATGTAGAGTAAATAGGGATTGAACAAATTGGGAATGCTTAACTTTGAGAAGAGACAGCTGAAAGGATATCAGAGAGAGAGAGCAATCAAGATCCTGAAAAGCCAGATACAAAATAATGGTTTTGAGTTACAGGGAGGAGAATTCTGGTTGTCTGTCAGAACAAATATTTTAATAGCAAAAGCGAGCTGACATTAAAACCTAGAAAAAATGATGGGCTCTCCTTTTCTGGTATGATCTGGCAAAAGCTGCATTTGTTAGAGATGTTTTAATTTATATTCTTGCACAAAGCAAGGGATTTAATGGCCTAAATAGGGGCATTGTACTTCTAAAAAACACATTTTGCAACAGCTCTCAAAACCTGAAGCCAGAACTGATGGATTCTTTTTTGGGGGAAAAAACATTTATTATTTGAAAAACATTTATTATTTGAGACTCCAGAAAAGTGGAGAAGAGCAACAAAGATGATTAGGAGACTGGAGGCTAAAATATATGAAGAACAGTTGCAGGAACTGGGTATGTCTAGTTTATTTTTTAAAAAAAGGACTGGGGAGACAAGATAGCAGTCTTCCAATATCTCAGGGGCTGCCATAAAGAAGAGGGAGTCAAACTATTCTCCAAAGCACCTGAGGGCAGGACAAGAAGCAATGGGTGGAAACTAATCAAGGAGAGAAGCAACCTAGAACTAAGGAGAAATTTCCTGACAGTTAGAACAATTAATCAGTGGAACAACTTGCCTCCAGAAATTCTGAATGCTCCAACACTGGAAGTTTTTAAGAAGAGATTGGATAACCATTTGTCTGAAGTGGTGTAGGGTTTCCTGCCTAAGCAGGGGGTTGGACTAGAAGACCTCCAAGGTCCCTTCCAACTCTGTTATTCTATTCTAAATGTCTCTTGGACATGGGAAAAAATGGCTTTCATCTAGAAAGAAACAACAGCAGAAGACCATCTAGGAGAAGGAAAAGGAGGCGAATGAGAAAGGTGGGAGAGAGAAGAGAGGAGAAGAAGCAGAAAAGGAGAAGAGGAAGAAAAAGGAGAAAGAATAACAACAACAGAATAGGGAAGGGATCTCGGAGGTCTGAGTTATTCCCTCAGAAAAGCAAACCAGCTGAGAAGTAATGCAGATAAATCCAGTAAGGGAAAGAAATGTCTCAATATCTTCAATAAAGCTGACATTGCAGACATCTTCCGATTTAAATTGTTTAATTAGTATCCTATATGATTTATGTTGATTGCTTATTTAGTATCCATGACTATCACTAAGTGTTGTATTTAATGTTTTATGATGAACGTATTTTTACAATGACTGTGATATCGCTATTGTTGTATGTACACTGAGAACTTATGCACCGGAGACAAATTCCTTGTGTGTCTTGTCACTCTTGGCCAATAAAGAATTCTAAATATTCTAAATAGCAATAGCACTCAGACTTCTATACCGCTTCACAGTGCTCTACAGCCCTCTCTAAGCGGTTTACAGAGTCCTCATATTGCCCCCAACAATTTGGGTCCTCAGTTTACCCACCTTGGAAGGATGGAAGGCTGAGTCAACCTTGAGCCTGGTGGGGTTCGAACTGCCAAATTGCAGGCAGCCGGCAGTCAGCAGAAGTAGCCTGCAGTACTGCATTCTAACCACTGTGCCACCAATATTCCATGATGTGACTTTGGAACTTCCGGTGGCTCTCACAGGATAGCACAATGGGTAGTTCTGATTCCCCTGAAGCTCACCCTCCTTTATCCCACCCCATAGCTCCCTCCCCCCCCATTTCTTATGTTAAACCGGCATGTAGCAAAGCCTAGCTGGTGGGGCAACATGGCAGTCCTGACAATTATATTATGCACCGAATAGCTTTTTATCCAGATCCTCAGCTTTATACTTTATAGAAATATCTTTTCTTTGCTTGGATGTTGCTTAAAAATAAATCTCATTCATCAGTTTTGACATCCTCTGCCCCCCAAACACTACTAAAATATGGCTCTGTGTAATATGCCATATGGAAAGATAAAAATAAAAGTTCTGTAAACCGCAATGTATAGCAGTTCTATGTATTAATCTCTTTTTTTATTGTTTATTTGTTTTACCAAGTACATTTACAGTCTTGGCATGCAAATAACCCAAGTTGTTGTTTTTGTAATAAACCAAGAAAAATAAATCTTAGTAATATCTTATCCGTGATAATAAAAAAAAAGTGTTAGTGTTTTAAAGGCATTCATTTCTTTTAAGTTGTAATGCAATGGGAGGTGGGAAGAATTAAATTATCTAACATTTTAGATGTGTGGATCCATCTAAATCCATTCCATGCCTTCCCTTTTTTTTTTTTTTGGTAGATTTCCACTCTAAAGTTTGATCTCCTAAACTTTAAGTTAAAAATAAAACCAAGAGTTTTTTTTTTGTTGGTTTTTTTTTTGCCTTTTTAAAGAGTAGTATAGGTTGCCCTTGGTTAATTAGGATTGGAAACCCTATCATTAAGCAATATGGTTATAAGTTGAAAAACCATGTAACGATGGGCTTAATGATCACAGTTCTTACAGTCCTGGTTGCCATCATTAAGCGAGAATCTCACATATTCCAAAAGTGAATTGGCTTCCTTTCCCTTCCTTTCCCTTCCCCTCCCCTCTTAAATTTTGTTTGTATTTGTGTTCATAGTGCTAGAACAACATGCCCCAAATCTACCCCCATAGCCTTGTGGTGGACTTCTTTTATTTCTCTATATTTCCCTATTTGAACAGTACAAGAACTGATATTCCTTCCTCTTCTGCTTCTTTTCGTCTCAATATGGAATAATTATTACATCCTTCCAGAATCTCACGTGGGTATCTGCCTTGGTTTAGGTCCCACGCTTCCTAAATTCAGATAGGCAGCCAGAGGTAGGTCTTATTGATTCAAGGGCTCTCTATTAAGTAAATTATTTCTCTTGGATAATCTGATCTTTGATGGGTTTTGAAAAGGTATTCAAGGCTTTGCTTTATAAAATGATTCATAGATATTGAGTTTTTAAAATTTATTATTTTTTTTATCCATTTTTGATGCCACCCGACTCCTTGACAGTTCTAGGCAGTTTACAGATAAAAAGAAAAACAATACATATAAAAAGAAATCGCAGCCAACCAGAAGAATAATAAAACAAGCATAATTAAAGGAGGCTCTACATCTGTACTATCTCAAGGCCTCGGAGAACAACCAGAGTTTTAGAAATTCATAGAATCATAGGAGTGGAAGGGACATTGGAGATCTTCTACCCAAGGCAGGAGACCTTATATCATGTCAGTCAAATGGTTGTCCAATCCTGAAAGCCTCCAGCGATGGAGCACTTACAAATCAAGTCCTAGGATTCTACTCAAAGGAAATAAAGATTAAGATTGTTAAAATACTAAATATAAGGTGAGGTTATTTGGTCAAAGTTAAAAATATATAGTTGTTTCTGGTAACTCTTAATGGATTTTTTTGACCAGGAACAAATGAGGTTGTAAAGAGTTGTTCATAGTTAATAGGGGAAGGAGCATTCCTTTGTTGTATTTTTAAAGAAACTGATGTTACTGGGTTAAAATTAAAGGAAAGGAATATAAACAAGTTTGTTTAATTAAGATTGAAATATATAGATTATTGTTTCTTAGATTCTTCTTGACTAGAGTTAAATGACGAGGGATTAAAAATCTGTTTAAATATGAGATGAGACATTGGATGAAGAGTATTTTTTTTTCATTGATCAATAGAATATTTATTTAATAGCAAAAAAACAAACAAACCATGAACAATAATAGAAACTTACAAGTGACAAAGTAGCCTGAAATGAACCAACAATATTTACGAAAGATCATTGTTCTTCAAAAACTTTTCATAAGACCCAAAAAACTAAAAGATAAAACCCTGTTTTAAAACTGGAATCAACTCTGAATGATCTGAATTTGAAAATGAGCAAACATGAATTTCTTACAAAATGTAAATGGAACAAGAACCTAATATCACAAATACAAGTAAAATTCAAACGAGTAAAATGCTCATCGAACGTTGAAGAGTATTTTTGTTGTAGCATTAGAGAAGATAATAAGCTACTGCAATTGTTTGTATTTGTCAGGATGAAGGGGGAAGTTGTTTATATATCGTTTTTCTTTAATGTATATTTCTTTTAGTATTTTTTCACTTTCTCTCATTCTACTCTTCTATATTTTTCTTAGTTTCTATTAGTTGTTGTTTTTTTTAATCTTTGCAATGGTACACTTTAATAAAACTAGTATTAAAAAACCTGTAGCACAGCTTCAAAGTGGCTTTCTTTTAGCTGTGCTAAGTTTTCCCAAGGTTGCAGAGGCTATGGAGACGGTGAAGATTCGAATAGGTGCATTGGGAATGCTCAGGACTTAAACATGCGAGTTGATTTCAGATGAGCATTTCGATTTCTAGAAAAATAATTGCAGGATGACATCGATAGATTTTTCCTGGGGAAGAGGGGAAAAATGGTCTTTGAAAAGATGAGGCTGGTGCATCTACAGAACTCATGTTTTTTGCTCTTCCCCCCCGCCCCATCTATCTGGTTTGATAGGGAGAGTAGATTTTAATTTCAAATAAACATGGGAGTAGTTTTCCCATTGGCGCTTCAACCAGAGGCATTGTGTTTGATGTTGATCTCTGGTACCTGAACGTTTCTGCGGATGTAAAACATTTGCTTGATGTGTGATTTACCCAGTAAGAAGGATGTGTGTCTTAGCACGTAGCACTTCCACAGCAGCATAATTGAGGCTGGCTGGCTGGCTGGCTGTCCGTTTTTGCATTCCATGTTTGGCTTGAACCAAAAAGCCCTTCCCTTATGGATTCTTGCATTATTCAACAGGAAGCAAGAGGAGCGAGTGCAACAGGTACGGAAAAAACTGGAGGAGGCACTGATGGCAGACATCTTGTCCCGGGCTACGGATGCAGCAGAAGTAGATGAGGTCGAAATGGACAATGGAGAAGAGGCATAAGAATTAAATAATCAGGTACAGTCTCTCTCTCTCTCTCTCTCTCCCTCCCTCTCCCTCCCTCCCTCCCTCTCTCTCCTCTCTCTTTCTCTCTCTCTCACACATGCACATCTCTTTAATATACCCTTCTCCCTCCCTCCCTCCCTCCTTCTCTCCCTGTCTCTCTCACACACACATCTCTTTAATACACTCTTCTCCCTTCCTTCCTTCCTTCCTTCCTTCCTTCCTTCCTTCCTTCCTTCCTTCCTTCCTCTCTACACACATCTCTTTAATATACCCTTCTCCCTCCTCCCCTCTCTCTTTCTCTCACACACATCTCTTTAATACACCCTTCTCCCTCCCTCCCTCCTTCTCTCCCTGTCTCTTTCTCTCTCACACACACCACATCTTTAATACACCCTTCTCCCTTCCTTCCTTCCTCCCCTCCCTCTCCACACACATCTCTTTTAATACACTCTTCTCCCTTCCTTCCTTCCTTCCTTCCTTCCTTCCTTCCTTCCTTCCTTCCTCCCTCCCTCCCTCCCTCCCTCCCTCCCTCACACACATCTCTTTAATATACCCTTCTCTCCTCCCTCCCTCTCTCTTTCTCTCACACACATCTCTTTAATACACCCTTCTCCCTCCCTCCCTCCTTCTCTCCCTGTCTCTTTCTCTCTCACACACATCTCTTTAATACACCCTTCTCCCTTCCTTCCTTCCTCCCTCCCTCTCTCACACACATCTCTTTAATACACTCGTCTCCCTTCCTCCTTCTTCCTTCCTTCCTTCCTTCCTCCCTCCCTCCCTCCCTCCCTCCCTCCCTCACACACATCTCTTTAAATACACCCTTCTCCCTCCCTCCCTGTCTTCCTTCCTCCCTCCCTCTTTCTCTCACACACATCTCTTTAATACACCCTTCTCCCTCCCTCCCTCCTCCTTCTCTCCCTGTCTCTCTCTCTCACACACATCTCTTTAATACACCCTTCTCCCTTCCTTCCTTCCTCCCTCCCTCTCTCACACACATCTCTTTAATACACTCTTCTCCCTTCCTTCCTTCCTTCCTTCCTTCCTCCCTCCCTCCCTCCCTCCCTCCCTCCCTCACACACATCTCTTTAATATACCCTTCTCCCTCCCTCCCTCTCTCTTTCTCTCACACACATCTCTTTAATACACCCTTCTCCCTCCCCCCTCCCTCCTTCTCTCCTGTCTCTTTCTCTCTCACCACACATCTCTTTAATACACCCTTCTCCCTTCCTTCCTTCCTCCCTCCCTCTCTCACACACATCTCTTTAATACACTCTTCTCCCTTCCTTCCCTTCCTTCCTTCCTTCCTTCCTTCCTTCCTCCTCCTCCCTCCCTCCCTCCCTCCCTCCCTCACACACATCTCTTTAATACACCCTTCTCCCTCCCTCCCTGTCTTCCTTCCTCCCTCCCTCTTTCTCTCACACACATCTCTTTAATACACCCTTCTCCCTCCCTCCCTCCTTCTCTCCCTGTCTCTCTCTCTCACACACATCTCTTTAATACACCCTTCTCCCTTCCTTCCTTCCTCCCTCCCTCTCTCACACACATCTCTTTACATCTTTTAATATTCCTTCCTTCCCTTCCTTCCTTCCTCCCTCCCTCCCTCCCTCCCTCCCACACATCTTCTAATTATCTTTATTTCTCACCCTTTCCCTCCCTCCCTCCTTCTCTCCCTGTCTCTCTCTCACACACATCTCTTTAATACACCCTTCTCCCTTCCTTCCTCCCTCCCTCTCTCTCACACACACATATCTCTTTAATACACCCTTCTCTCTCCCCCCTCCCTCTCTCTCACTCATATCTCTTTAATACACCCTTCTCCTTCCCTTCCTTCCTTCCTCTCTCCCTCCCTCTCTCTCACACACATCATATCTCTTTAATACATCCTTCTCCCTTCCTTCCTTCCTTCTTCCCTCCCTCCCTCCATAATCTGCATGTTTCCATCTCTTCTATGGCCACCCACCCACCTCTCTCCCTCCTAACTCCCTATTTCCATACTCTGCATCTCTCCATCTCTCCTATGGCCACCCACCTCACAAGTGAGACTCCGGGTAGCATACCACAAATCTTTCCCTTATATTTTGAATTCCATGTAGTGGGGAAGGGCAAGGAATGAAACCATATTTCTGAGGCGCTGCAAAATTCCGGGTTAGAAAACTCCCTCCTCAGAATGCTTAGCAGCAATGCATTTGAAACCGAACCCTAAACAGAAACAGGGCTCGATTCGTCTCATCCCCTATTTAAAAAGTTATTTTTTAAAAACTGCATTCTGTATAACAGTTTAAAAATGAGACCAATCCCCAGGAACGCTTTACTGCAGCGCCCCGAGAAGATGGAGAAAAATACCATGGTGATGTATGATGGACTCAAGACAGATTCCTTTGACTAAGCTCTTATTTAGTCCGAAGCCTCCAGTGTTTACAGACACTGTTGTCCGTCACAATGGCTACCAATTCTGAAGAATTCCCTTTGAGCTCTTCCCCAGTGCAGCCTATCTGCTCATCCGCTTATTTATCTGCAGGCAGTGCCTCATTTCTTGCACCAGACAAGAGGCAGATGGGACTCCCCCACTTCCAATTTTTTCCCCTCCCTCCTTCCAATTTCTGTAAGAAATAACAGGAACTTAAGCCAGTGACAGCTCAATCTTTCTGCACGCGCCCATTGAGTTCCGTTGGACTAATTTTCAGCTGAACGAGAAGAGAAGAATGATGAGAAGTGGATTTCTGTAGAAAATTGAAGCTCTTGGCAAGTTCAGTTAAACTATCACAGCCATCTTGAGACTTCGGAATATAGGGAAGCTTACGTTAGACTTTCCGGGGGTTTGCTGGGTTGAAGCTTTTGACTTGAAAGAATAATTATGCATCATTTTAAACATCATCATTCATTCTCTTTCCCCTCCATTTTTTTTTTTTTTTACAGGTACTTTAAAAAAAAGAAAAAGAGACTCCCAGATAAAAATTTCTGGAAATTGGAAGTGCTTTTATGATTTCCGTTGGTCTTTTGTGATAGAAGAAGACCTCTGCACATTTATATAGCTTTCTAATAGCATTAAAAACCAATGCCCTTTTTCGGCTCTTATTATTATTATTATTATTATTATTTTATTATCCTATTTTTGATGTACATATCTTGTTAAGAAAAGAAAGAAAAAAAGGGGGGGGAGAAAAAGAAAGAAAAGATCCTACTCTTTATTTTGTGTCTTACGACTTCAAAAGTCTTGTTTTTATTTTTTATTTTATTTGTTTGGCGATGTCAAGCAGTTCCTGAAGACTGAAGCTGAGCTTTTTCGATGCCAAGTTGGCGATCCTGTAGTGACGACCTGGCAAGCACTAAATAATGAGCATTTCTTCTTCTTCTTTTTTATGTGTGCGTTTTTTTGCAAGAATAGATCAGGAAAACAGATTGTTTCCCAGTTTAAAAAAAGAAAAGAAAAGAGATTGTGTCATGATTTCTTGTACATATATTATATAAAAGATTTTTTTTTATACTGGAACTGAATGGGAAAAAATCTGTAAATTGACCCATCATCATTCTCTAAAGAGAAATAAATACTTTTATTCAGAGCAATTACAATTTTTAGAGTAATGTACTATAATTTAAGGCAAGGCTCCTATCTCTATTACTGAGCATTAGGCAGAGATAATATTGTTCAGTGAAAATAGCGAATGCCGAATGTCAAGCTGCTAAAGCCTTTTGTTAAGTTTATTGGGAAATTTATTTGCACTCTTGACCAAATTACGGAAGCACTTCAACGAGTGTGCAATTTTCCCACATCGGATTTGGAGCCTCCGTCCTCCTTTTTATAAAATGGGAAAATCATGACCTACCTCACAGGGTTGTTGTGAGGATGAGCTTAATAAAAAAAAAAGGAAAGTATTTTTTCAATGAAATGGTTTTCCCAAATGACTTGAAATGGATACACGAAAGATGAGTGATGATTATTATTTGTATGATAGTAAGATGACTTGTAGGATAGTTTTGCAGTTCACTGGTGTTTATTCATCAAGGAGGAAAAACAATATATTTAATTTTCAGTTAAAAGGTGATAGTAGATTAGATAGATGACAGATTGATAGGTATTCTTTAATACAGCCGTTGACCAGATCACAAGCAATAAGAATAGGACATTGTCTATATCACAAGATAATCTCTAGATCCTGTCAGACAAAGAATTTCAACTGGCAGGGTCCAGGGAAGAATTAAATAGAATAGAATAACAGAGTTGGAAGGGACCTTGGAGGTCTTCTAGTCCAACCCCCTGCTCAGGCAGGAAACCCTTTACCACTTCAGACAAATGGTTATCCAACATCTTCTTAAAAACTTCCAGTGCTGGAGCATTCACAACTTCTGGAGGCAAGTTGTTCCACTGATTAATTGTTCTAACTGTCAGAAAATTTCTCTCTAGTTCTAAGTTGCTTCTCTCCTTGATTAGTTTCCACTTCTTGTCCTGCCTTCAGGTGCTTTGGAGAATAGCTTGACTCCCTCTTCTTTGTGGCAGCCCCTGAGATATTGGAACACTGCTATCATGTCTTCCCTAGTCCTTCTTTTCATTAAACTAGACATACCCAGTTCCTGCAACCATTCTTCATATGTTTTAGCCTCCAATCCCCTAATCATCTTGGTTGCTCTTCTCTGCGCTCTTTCTAGAGTCTCCACATCTTTTTTAGATTGTGGTGACCAAAACTTAATTCCAAGTGTGGCCTTACCAAGGTATTATAAAGTGGTATTAACACTTCATGTGTTAATCATGTGATCTTCACGTGATCTCTGTTTATGCAGCCACACTTTTTAACATATATTGTAAGTCACCTAAAGTCATTATATTATTGAGATGGGTGGCATATAAATTTAACCAATCAAAAGGAGTGAAAGGTCTAGAATAGGTCAGCCATCTTCAACCTGGCATCCTCCTGCTGTTTAAACCAAGAATCCTTCAAATTCTCAACCAACTTGACCATAAATTAGGAGTTCTGAGAATTTTAACACTCACGGAGGCACCGTGGAAATCAATAGTAATTTTTCTGTTTCACTGCAAGATAACGTTTTTAGGTCCATCCCCATCATTAGATATAAAGTTAAGGTATTTACTTCTGATGGATAACATTGGGTGTCCATAGATTCCTGGTGGAGAACAAAGCTAGGTTCTGCTGAACATACCTTTGCCTCCTAAATGAGCCTGTTTCTTCAGACATGGCCAAGGACATTGTTCAAATTCAGATATTGAAGACCTGCACCTAAAATTGGATTGGGAGTTATTTCTCCTCAAGATGCAATGCACTCTCAGTTTATCTTCTCATGTTGGCCAGCCAACTTTAGAAAACCTGAATGCTGCACCCAGTTTTGGTCACCATGATTCAAAAAAGATGTTGAGACCCTAGAAGGAATGCAGCAATAATGGCAGAGGTGGTATTCAGCTGGTTCGTATCATTTTGGGTGAACCGATAGCGGAGCTCGTGGGTGGGCCTGCCCCTGCGCCCTCCGCCCCTCCTCTATGCCGTCCTATTTAGGCACGTTGTCGAGGCTGGATGGATGCGCGGAAGTCTGGACGCATGTGTGGAAGGCGCTCGTGTGCACCAGGGATTGGTTCTACTTACCTTTACTACTGGCTCGCTTCGCTCACATGCATGCCTTGCTTCTGTGCATGTTCCTTGCTTCTGCACATGCGCAGATCGCTGATGATGACATCTGGGGCGGTGGGCGGGGCCTCCCGCCAGTTTTACTACCGGTTCTTGTGAACCAGTCCAAACCGGGGGCAACCCACTACTGGTGCGCGCGCACAGCAAACTGGTAGTAAGAATATTCAAAACCCACCGATGAATATTGGGGATTGGAGACTAAGCCATATGATGAATGATTAAGGGAAATAGGTATGTCTAGTCCAGTGATGGCTAACCTTTTTGCCATCGTGTGCCAGGAGAGGGGGGGTGGGGGAGGGTCCCGCGCGCATGTGCCCATGCGCATGTGCACGGAACCCCACCCACCCCCGCTCCTGGCACATGATGGCCTCGTAGGCCCGTTTTCCTTTCTTACCTGGTTCCAGATCCTCTCTATGCATCTGGGAAGGGAGAAAACAGCCTTTCCCACTCCCTTGGAGGCCCTATGGAGACTGAAAGGGCCCATTTCCAAACTCTTGGTGGGAGAAGGAAGTAACATTTTTTAATGTCCCCAGCCTCCAGAACCTCTCTAGGAGACTCTAGGAGCCTCTCTAGGAGCCTCTGGAGGCTGGGGACAGGAAAAAAATGTCACTTCCTGTCCCACCGGGAGTCGGGAAATGGGCCCTTTCAGCCTCCGTAGGGCCTCCAAGGAAGTGGGAAAGGCTGTTTTCGCCCTTCACAGATGCATAGAGAGGATCTGGAGCCAGGTAAGAAAGAAAAACGGGCCTTCCCCACCCCCACCCCAGGAAACAGCCTGTTTCCCTACTTCTGGTGGGCCCAGAAGGCCCAAAAATCAGCTGGCCGGCATGCCCCAGAGCTGAGCTGGCGTGCCCACTAATATGGCTCTGCGTGCCACCTGTGGCACGTGTGCCATAGGTTCGCCATCACGGGTCTAGTCTAACGAAGAGATGGACTTGGGGTGATAGGATAGCAACTTTCCAGTATTGAAGGGCTGTCACAGACAAGAGGAAGCTGATCTAGTCTCCAAAGCATCTGAGGGTAGGACAAGAAGTAACAGGTTGAAGATCATTAAAGAGAGATCCAACCTAGAACTAAAGAGAAATTTCCTGACAGTGAGAGCAATTAATGTATGGAATGGCTCACCTCCAGAAGTTCTGGTTGCTCCAACACTGGATGTTCCTAAGAAGAGACTGGACAGCCAGAATGGTATAGGATTTCCTGCTTGAGCAGAGGGTTGGAGTAGAGGACCTCCAAAGTCCCTTCTAATCCTATTATTCTATCTTTTATGTCTCTTTTGATTAGAATTTCTCACCATCTTACAAGCTTATTGTAGATACCACCATTGTTTAGTGATTGGGGAAAGCTAATTCATAACTAGACAAATAGTTGACTATATTGACTGAAAATTCTGAGAACTAATGGAGATGTCAGATTGGAGAAGGCTAATCGAGTTGCTGAAGTGGGGATATTTGAGAAATCCAACCTTTCACAAACACAAAGAAGACGTGAACTCAGCCTAACTCCCTAGGTTTTCTGAAGGCTCAAAGCACAATTATTAAGTTTCCCATTTCTTGGTTTTAAAGGAAATTTTTAATCTGCAGTCAAGGATGTATATTTGAAAATTAAAAAATTGAAAATTGCGTATTTGGAGAAAAATGAGCAAATATCTATTTAAATACAGATTTGAAGATACATTTTTTAAGGAATTGCCTATTGCCTATTGCTAGGGAAGTGAAAGGGACACAGTAGCTCAGTGGCTAAGACGCTGAGCTTGTCGATCAGAAAGGTCGGCAGTTCAGCGGTTTGAATCCCGAGTAATGGGGTGAGCTCCCGCTACTTGTCCCAGCTTCTGCCAACCTAGCAGTTCGAAAGCACGTAAAAAATGCAAGTAGAAAAATAGGGACCACTTTGGTGGGAAAGTAACAGTATTCCATGCACCTTTGGTGTTTAGTCATGCAGGCCACATGACCACGGAGATGTCTTCGGACAGTGCTGGCTCAAATATTAATTATGCAAACTGGGAGATGAGGGAGTGATCATCCCAAAGGTGCTTTTTCAAAAGGCAACTAAACTTTGTTTTTGCTTGAAGACATTTTGCTTCTCATCCAAGAAGCTTCTTCAGTTCTGAATGAAGTTGCCTTTTGAAAAAGCACCTTTGGGACAACCATGACCTGGATGATTGCGAATTTCCATAGACACACAGAGAGAGAAGTAACCATTGTTTTGAAAAGTTTCGTATCATTTGATTTCTGAAGGTAGGAAAGACATGGCCCAAGCTACTTCTGAAGCAGAGACTTCCAGAAGGAAATATATCTTGCATATTTCCTGGAAAATAATCAGGTTGCCTATCTGTATACTACTAAAATTCTTGTTTAAGGGACGCGGTGGCTCAGTGGCTATGACACTAAGCTTGTCGATTGAAAGGTCGGCAGTTCAGCGGTTCAAATCCCTAGTGCCACATAATGGGGTGAGCTCCCGTTACTTGTCCCGGTTTCTGCCAACCTAGCAGTTCGAAAGCACATAAAAAATACAAGTAGAAAAATAGGGACCACCTTTGGTGGGAAGGTAACAGCGTTCCGTGAGCTTTTGCCATTTAGTCATGTCAGCCACATGACCACAGAGACGTCTTTGGACAACGCTGGCTCTTCGGCTTTGAAATGGAGATGAGCACCCCCCCCTAGAGTCGGGAACAACTAGCACATATGTGCGAGGGGAACCTTTACTTTTACCTTAGGGAAGTGAGACAGAATGGCTTTCAGTTGAATGTGTGTAAAAGTGACTGAGCTCTTTTCTATTCCTGCTTTGAGGGTAGGGATGCTTGAACTCCCTGCTGTGCCGCTTGTCTTCCGTTGCTAGTTTGTACCATTCTCCCTTAGCAAATAATGCCTGCTTGGGGACTCTCTACCAATTATCAGGCTTGTTGGTAGCTAAATTGTGTGGAAAAGCTGATTTGGGAGCAGTGTCCAGCAAAATCCATTCATCTAGTAGACTTGGAACCCGATGAGCCTTTCAGTTACGGAAAAGCTACACTCGGGGCATGGTTGTTTTTCATAAATTTGGCCTCTAAGACACTCCTGTAAATGAATTTTAGTGGCTTAATAATAATGTGCATTGAACAACTTATTTTTTTTTAAATTTACTCAACTTCTACCTTGACTGTCCAAACTGAAGACTTAATTGAGTCCTGCCTATGACCTTTCCTACCTGTGCCTCTTATAAATAAATAATCTTGTTTGTCATTGTATGTGTATACACAGTATACACATACAACGAAA